TTTATGTCCCTCCAGTGTTGAAGATGAACTATCATATAATTCATTCTATAAGCAATACAGTATTCAAAGAAAGAAAGAAAATTACTTTCATAGGGCAATAGGATGGCGTAAACAACTTTAGAATTAAGAATGTCTCCTTCAAGTCTGACCAGCTATGTCAGTTCAGGGCTCTGAATCGTTCTATGACAGGGTCACTTGTGGCATAGCCTTTTGTGATGTTCATGGCGTATTAAGGAACCATCTAGCGATTTTTGGCTCCCATGTGTACAGAAAGACAAAACTACAAAGCTAGTTTGATAACAGAAGAGAATCGCTGTCGTTTCAGGCCCTACATGAATGTGGATGGCTGTTTTGGGCTACTACTATGCCTAAAACTGACTGACATGAATAAATGGCATAATATAAGCTCATATTATCTAAGTGAATTTCTTGTCTTTTTCTATATTGAAATATACAACTTTAGTATTGACATGATTCTCATCTAAACCAACAATTTCCAGGTACAAGCTCACATGAAAATAAGAAAAACTATTCTAAGGATGAAGCTAAACAGTAAAACATACAGAATTGCTCTGTATTTTGCAAACATCTCCAACTTTTGATTTTATTTAAAATTATTTTATTTATGAGACAGTAGGGACAATAAATGATAGGAGATTGTAGTTGTGGCTTCTGTTGCTCTCTAACAATTTTCCTTAAAGAAACAGAAAGTTGTCAAACTCAGGTTGTTTGCTACCCTAGTTTTGAAAACCTTACGTGTGTGTTACCCCAGGGGGTCGGGAGTCCTAATGTAACTCAAGCTCTTTGCTTTGGAGCTGGGAATTATTTGATTTACAGATTTACCCCAGCTCAGATTCAAATAACTCATGCTGCAGGCTTGATGTGATAACTCAACTTTCTTAACTCTATGCATCATTCTTTAAACCAATGACTATTTTTCCCACAAAAATGAAAGAAGGAATCTACTTTCCATATGACATCTGAAGAAAAGGCATCATATAATTTTTATCCATTCATAACACACTTATTAAAAAACTCCAAAAGATGGCTTTGTTGATAAATGGAAGAAACTGATGGTAGGTAAAATATTCCCAAGCTTTTTAATAGATAGGTTTTCTAACCTTTTTAGTTTCTAAAGTTTTATTTTTTCCATTTCTTTTCAAAGAAAGTTTATTTTATTAAAAGTAGCTTTGCATAAACAAAAACTGTAGAAAACATAGAAATACAAAAAGGAGAAAAATGCTATATTTCCAGAGAAATAACTGGTTATCTTTTAAGGTACTTCTTTCTAGGTATTTTTTGTGTATATTTTTACATAGTTGAAGTTGTACTGACATGCCTTTACATTTCCTAATTCTTTATTTTACTTCTAGATCTTATTTTTTAAATTACGTAATATTTACACATTGTAAAGCTAAAAAAGAACAAGTACAGACTCTTTCTGATCTTCTCCAGTTGCCCCATTTTCTTTTCTAGTGAAAATGAGTATTTCTTCTTAAAATGTTTCTTATGTATATTCTTCCATAAATAGCTTTTATACACTGTATTCAGACTCTAGGTTAATATTAAAATATATGTATCTCCCCATATTATTTAAAGTCTCATAAACATCATTTTTAAGGACTACCTAATATTTTACTGTATAAATATGCCATTATTTAGTTATACTTACCTATAAAACATTAAAAATGTCTTTTTTTTTTGTATTTTATGGAAGGGTCTACAGGGTGTCACTGCTAGACCAGACTTGTAGTGATCCGCCTATTTACAGCCTCCCAAGAGCTGGGATTACAGGCGCATGCCACCATGCCTAGTCTCAATTGCCCTCTCAGTGCGCCCTGGGAGTGGGGCCGGCACAGCAGGCCCAGGGATTGAACCCTCGGCCCCTGTGTCTGCTTGCAGGCCCTTTAAGCCTTCCGAGGGCTGGGATTACAGACATGCGCCATCACACCTGGAAGCTTTTGTTGGATAAATTATCGCTGTTCTACTTCACCCAGGTTCTCAAAAGCAAGTCTGTTGTTTCTTCTGCTGAAGCTAAACCGTCAACCTGGAGTCAGAATAGCTTTTCCCACAGTGAACTGACCTCAGCTGGGTAGCCAGTCTGCTGGGACTCAAGAAAGAATGTGCCCCACTTGGTGGCCCATGAACACTTGTAGCAACTTGCTACTGAACCACCGGTGTTTGAGCTCGTAATCCCAGAGCACTCCTGTGTCCTCAGAGCCCATGTGTTCAAAGTATTATTGTCTAAGTCTCCTTTGGGGGCTGATGCCTGCAAACACACACAAAGACAGACAGAAAGAAAAAAGAAAAAAGAAGTGATGAGCCAAGTGGAAAACATAGCAAGAATAAATGAACATTTATGCTGCTTTGGGAGGACTAAGGAGTTGCTGGGCTCAGTGGTAAATGCTGAGAGCATCAGTTCTTTATAGATTGGTCAGAAAAGAGTGCGCCTCGCTCAGAGGAATATTCATGGATTTGGCAAGGAGCAGAGAAAGATGGGAAGCTTCAGCGAAGCAGGGAGAGGCTATTTCTGGCCTAGAGGAAGGTGTATGTGAAATGGAGCTATTCAGAGTGGAAATCTGGACCTAAGCTAGGAGGAAATTAGCATAAAGGGACAGAAAAGAAACTTGACAAGACAAGAAAATACTTGGTTGAAAGATTTGTGGTAACGGAGGAAAACTTCGGGCTTCGTGTAGATGAAATCTTAACTTTCAGAAAAACAGGTCAATCGGGAAGGCATCGCCCCGTACATTTTTCTGGAGTTCTCCCCAAATGACCCAGCTTCCAGCTCCGGCTCACCCCCAAACTAAAATCTGCTGGCCATGCCTCAATTCTTGGTATGGACATATTAACAGCTTTACAGTGGACCGAATGTCATGCGGTATCAGACCCAACCCGCTTTCTGAGTTTAGTTCCAACTATGTTTAGTTCCAGACTGTTTTATAGAAATCTTCAAAGTCACTGTTGTAGAATCCGTGTTTGCTCCCATCCAGTTCATACACTTCCTAAACACTGTCCCCACAACATGGTAGCTAATTTGAGACAAACTCTGAGGGGCAGATGAAGACCCAGATTGAGCACTCCCCAGTTACAGTTAGGAGGAATGCATCTTTAAATAGATCTTTTCAAAGCTATATCTCAAAGCTTACAATGTAGGAATGCAGAGCACCCTGGTAGGGCTGCTGCAGACACACTTGCTGGTACAAGCGCCCTTTCCATGGAAGCTACAGGACTGCTCGTGTGATCCGCCTGCAGTGCCCGGGGACTGTCTGCCCTAACCAGCAATATCCGCAGCATTCGTACCGTATCTATGACTTGGCTCCCATTCTCCAGCGATTCTCAGCCCACTTCCTTTCTGGACAGTGAGCATAGCAATGCATACTTTATGGGATCGGTAGGAAGGTGTAATGCAGCTCCTGGGGATGGCAGCCTAAGGCAGTCAGGGTAACTTTTCCGCTGAGGATGATCAAGACAGTAAGGAGAACATGTTTTAAAATCTAGTTGAAGATACTGGAGAACTAAGACGATACTGAACCAAAGGAGGAGGCACGGATGCCCATGGAGTTGAGCTGAGAGCAAAGCTAAAAGCAGGAGGGATCAGGAGGCTGGGTTGTAGTTTCGAAAGCCACAGAGGTGTCAGGTCACTGTTTTGCAGGGTTGGAACCCTTGCATGTGAACCGCCCTCACAGTAGTGGAAATCTCTCAGGGAGCTTAGGGGAAAGGGTAACTCAGAAGTAGCCCTCCCGAGTGACCACAGCTCTGCTTTACAGCATGTCAAGCTGCAAACCTGCTTTTAGACGACCTTCAAGTGTTTGAGCAGGTAGGTTGCTGGTGAAGGCAGGCATGAGTCCTCTTTGGAGGAAATGGCGGCATCTCAGGCCCAAATATTTCTACAGTTCCACAGATATGGTATCTGACATATGATAAAAAAATTGATACACAGGAATAAAACAATGTGAATTCCAAAAGTGCCCTGAAGGCATTCGAGGAACAAAAAAAAAAGCCTTATTCCATTTGGGGGCCTGGCCCTAGCTCAGGCCTTTAAGTGGCTGCTTCCACAAAACAATGTGAATTAAAATCAGTGATAATACCAGACAGCAGTAACAAGTGCACAAAGCCTGAGTTGGGACCTTAACTTCAAAATGGATTGAGAATCATAACCAAGAACAGCAGTACAAAGTAAGTAGTCATTCTGTATTAGAGGACACAATAAGCACAAGTTTTTAAGAGTAGATAAAATATAATGAAAAATTAGGCCTGGTGGTGCATGCCTATAATCCCAGCACTCAGGAGGCTGAGGCAGGAGGATTGCCATGAGTTTGAGGGTAACCTGAGCTATAAAATCAAGTTCAAGGCCAGCCTACATGACATAGTAAGAACGTGTCTCACTTAAAAAAAAAAATGAGAAAGAGAAATAGTAAATTGGAAAATCAGAAGAAAATTCCCAGAATGCAATGCAGTAAAACATAAGAACAGAAAAAATAATCAAACACATGGAACTATAGTACAAAGCTCTGATATACATTCACTAGACAACCAGATGGGGAGAAGAGGCTGAGATGGCCTTAACAGTAAGAGATAATGGCTGAGAAAATTTTCCAAATTGTAAAAAAACAAAATCAATCCCTGGATTTAGTAAGTCCTATGAGCTTCCAGGAAGATAATGAATACACAAATCAAGATGTGGATACATGATTGTAAAGATGCTAAAAACCGAACACAGAAAATCTTGAAAATAACTAGAGAAGACAAATTAGTTTCAAAGGAGTGACAATACAGTAGGTGTCTCAATGTGAGAATGGAAACTAAAGGAAATAAACTAATATATATTGGAAAGAGTAAGAGGATATTGACTTACCAATCTGCAGTTCTGCAGTAAGTGGTAGATCCCCAAGAGGAAGTGAAGAAACAGAACTTTATAGACAAATGGAAAGTGAGGGCATTTATCATCAGCAATTTGCACTTTAAAAAAGTCTTTTTTTTCTTTCTTTTTTTTTTCACGTCAGATGGGCAATGTGCCCACGTCATAACAAGGTTTGAGGGTGGCACATCTCATGCATAAGGCATGAACACCCAATCATCACACTCATGAACTAAAGGATCCTAAAAAAAAGTCTTAGTAGTTCTTCAAACAGCAGGAAAATAATTAAAGAGGGCAAGTTGACATACAGCAAAAACTAAAGAGCAACAAAAATGACAAAATATCTAAGCTTTCTCATACTGACTGCATAACCCAGTAACTATAATTACTTTGGCATTTAAAATAGAGAAGTAAGGTGCCGGGAGAGGGCTCAGTAGAATAAGTGTTTGCCTGGCAAGCTCAAGGGCCTGAGTTCAATCCCTGGATCTGCCAAAAAATAAATTAAAATGAAATAAAATAAAATAGAGAACTAAAAAACAAAACAAAAATGAGGAAAGAACATTGAACAAAAGGTGCTCAAGAAATGGGGACATTAGGACATGAAAAATGCTGTCAGTGGTCTAAGTTTCTTGTATTGTACAGGAAAAGGCTAGAAGTATTGTTATTATATTTAGTTAAGATAAAAGAACAAGTGACTTTTAAGGTAATCAGGAGAAAAACCTTTTAAAGTAATTACTGTAAATGTGAATAAACTAAATTTCCCAATGTAAAGACAAAAGATTGTCAAATACATACAAAATATGGAGATCCAAAAACTTTAAAAATACAAAGATTGGGCCAGGGAAATAGCTCAGTGGCATAAGGGCCTGCCTGGCAAGCACAAGGTCCCAAGTTTGATTCCTCAGTACTGGAAACAAAAAACAAAGATGGAGAAAATTTTAGCTGTCACATTTTTTAAAAAATCAAAAGAAATTGGTCTCAGGGGTATCTTTATTTTTTTTTTTTTTTTTATTTTTTGACATCAGTTATTTTTATTTTAAAGAAAGAAAAAAAATAAAAACAGTGGTACAAAATCTCAAAACAAGATTTTAGGAGAGTAACAATGG